CAGCTTGAATTCAGTAAGCTGCTCCAGAAACAACTCCATTTCAGCTGCGAACTGCCCAAAGCAACTTGTTTGTGAATCTGAAAATGCATTTATTAAGGAAGCCAGATAGCGCTGTTGTTCAACATCGTCTGAGGATGTCCGGAGAGTTCACTTTCCCCCAGATCAACTCTTTTTGGATGTGTAATTGATCCTAAAGCAATGGAAGCATGTATTACTTTCCGGCAGTGGCCGTGTGTGCTCTTCATCGCAGAAATTTAGGTCGTTCTTGATCCCCAGCTCTTCTAGAATTCTTGTCAACTCGTCGACACGCGTTTTTAAATCTGAAAGTGCATTTATGGGAATGCACGATAGTACCGCGATTGCTCAGCATCGCCCGAGGTGTCCCGAAAGTCCATTTTCAGCAGATCAGCTCTTGCAATTTAATCAAAAAGGTGAGGGACGTATTTATTGCCTTCTAACAATGATTGTTCTTGCCCTGCAGAGAAATGGGACATTGAAAAGTCCGGGTCCAGCTGTGATAATTCTTGGCGACCGCAGAAGATGTAGTTCACCAACCATTGCCCTGAAAATGCATTTTTGAGCAAGCCGGATAGCATCGTCCAACATCGTCCGAGATGACCGGATAGTTTACTTTTTTCTAGCAGCAGCTTGAATTCAGTAATTTCCTTTTCCAGCAGCTCGCTTTCAGCTGTGAATCGCTCGAAGTAACTTCTTCGTGAATCTGAAAATGCATTTAATTAGAATGCCAACACGGTCTGAGGTGTACGTGAAATTGTCTTTCTCTAGATCAACTCTTTTTCGCTGTTTAATTAGTCCCAAGGCAACGGAAGTATGTATTACTTTCCGGCAATGGTCGTGTGTGCTCTTCATCCCGGAACGTTGGATCGTCCCCAATCCCCAGCTCTTTTAGAATTCTTATCAGCTCGTCGACATGTGTTTTTGAATCTGAAAATTCATGTATGAGAAAGGCCGATAGTACCGCAGTTGCTCAGCACTGTCCGAGGAGTTCACTTTCAACAGATCAGCTCTTCCAATTTGATCGAGAAGATAAGAGAAGTATAGATTACCTTCTAAAGATGGCTTTGCGCTCTCTACTGGATCAGCAGCAATCGCTGGAAGAAACACCACCGGCAACATTAATTCTGGAGTCGGTTCGGTGAAGCGCCGAGGCCGTGCATCTGAAAGCTCATTTATCAGAAAGCTCGACAGTGCATCGTCTGAGGTGAGGTGTCCAAGGAGTTCACTTTCAGCAAATTAGCTCGTGCAGTTTGTTCAAAAAAATAAAGTACGGATTACCTTCTAAGGATGATTGTGCGTGCTCTGCTGCATCAAAAGGGAAAGTTGGGAAAGTCGACGCTTGTGATTTTGACTTCCGTGAGACTGAAAATGCATTTATCAGATCAACACTTTAACGCTGCGTAATTAGCCCTGAGGTAATGGAACTATCTATTACTTTTCGGATCGGAAAACCCAGAAGATTTCTTCATTAGCCACTCGAATTTAATAGCTTCCTTCATCAGCAGCTTGAATTCAGTTACGATTCTCTTGAAGACAGTTGTTTGTTGCCCTGAAAATGTATTAATAAGTAAGCCGGATAGCGCTGTTGCTCAACACCGTTCAAGATTACCGGTTAATTCACTTTCACCAGACCAGCTCTTTTCCGTTGTGTAATTAGTCCTAAGGCAACAGAAGTTTTATTACATTCCGAGAGTGGTCGTATGTGCGCCGTATTGAGCAACGTCGAAAGTTCCGTCATCCGCGACTTTTCTGGAATTGTTGCCAGCTTGTGGGGAAGTGTTTGTAAATCTGAAAATGCATTTATGAGAATGCCGGAACTACGGCCGTTCGAAACCGCCCGTAAGGTGTTCCGGGAACCCTTTTCCCACCTAATCAGTTCTAACTAATTCAAAATTTGCATCTGGCCATTGAATTCTGTAATCTTTTCAAGGATAAAGCTTTGGAACACATCCCTTTTCTCCGAAATATCCAGTTTAACCACTCTTATCCGCGGGGTCGAAAAATGCTTTTCTGAGAAAGCCGGGTATCGCGATGCTCACCATCTTCTAACATGTCCTGGTGTTCATTTTCATCAGAATAGCTCTTTTTCGGTATATAGTTTGATCTGTGTATGTGGGTTTTGTACACTCGCTGTGTGCCCTCTGTTTTCGAGCAATTTTTGTCGCAAACAACTTTTTTTTGTAAAGGATTGGGGCAGAGAAGGAATGAAACCTCTCATTTCCACTTCTTCCGGATCGTTCGACTCGTGACGGGTTGTCGTATACAGCACCATATCCTTCGAAGAAAGTCGCCGTTCGCAGTGATCGTTCGTTTGTCCTGGAATTCCAAATCCATTCAGATTTAGATTTCTCTCAGAAATTCATGTTGCAGGTAGACGGCTCTACTAAAGCGCTTTCTTGTACCGATGGTGCCAGCGGCGAAAAGACGCCGTAGGGGTGTAAAAACTGAGTTTGAAGAGAATAGCAGCTCGTCATGCACCGTGAGCAGGCATGATGTCAGTGGCTTGATGGCCGAAGATTGCTGCAGCACTGGGACAGAACCGGCATGGAAGAGGCATCTGGAGAACATTGGACAGATGAGAAGTGGACGTGACGCACCAGTTGACAGTATGGGATGTCACATGCTTGCGGATAAGCTAGCCGATCCGAAGGTATCTGCACTGTTCTTAGGTTTTTCCATTCGCTTTCATCCATAGAAAAACCTGCAACCTGTGGAGCTCCATTGTTATGGGGATACACTTACGTCTGGCTAAACCAGGCCAAATTTTCTGCTTTGATTGAATTTCGTCCTTCGTATTGTTATCTCGCACTGATGCGTGCCGATAAGTCGAAATCGCCGTCAGCTTGTTTGTAAGTGTGCGTGTATGTATTCGTCTGTCCGGGTATTTCTATTCGCCGCCCAACCAAGCTTTGGTGCTGAAATTTTACCAGTGTTTCCCTTGGCCAACTGCGACTCCAGGAACGTGTTGTGACTGCTATGCACGTTTACGCGTGAAATTTTTGAAAGCTGAAACTTTGTGGAAACGCTCTTTACGTATATATGACTAAAAACTTTTAAATTCAGCAGCTTAGAACTGCCCGGGGCTCACATATGGACACTGAAAGCTTCGACGGGAAAATTGCTAAATTGGGAATGAGGAGAGCTGGAAGGCTGGAATTTTAAAGCAATTTTCTCTAATCACGTACGACTAAAAGATTTCAAATTCAACTCTTCTAGTGGGAGTTTTGTCGCGACCACCAACTTTCCATTTGTCGGATCATTGAAGCTGACATCTACAAATGACATGCCACATAGCCGCAAATTAACTTTCTAAACTTCGAGAGTCAGTATGTCATAAAATTCTAGCTACTGTGATTCCTTTCGATTTTGTTACTACACGAAATAGTGCAAAAAGCATGGTCTCTCCGGCCTGCCTGGGTTTTATATTTTATTCATTTGTCTTCTAATCTCATTGTTACCCATAGCAAGCGAAAGTGGATTGCTTTCAACTTCTGTGCGGTTTTTTTTGCAAAACGTCATCCTTTCGGGGGTCGTTCGAATGGTCATTTTCTTCCCTTCTTGTACCCCTGCTGATGTTTGGCGTCTGGTTGTCAACGAAGCTCCCAACGTTTCTTGCCCATCTTGTGCTTTTCATTAGTAGTGTTTTCGAGCTATGTCTCGTCTGTGAGTTCGCTCAGGCCCACTGAAAATGTTCTAGTGATTGCAGAATGTACAGGGCCAGTAATAAGCAGTTTTCCTCAGTTTTGTATCGAAAAAAATTGGTTTTTCTGACTGTTGCGTTACGCTTTATAAATAAATTGAGTCGTTTGGGATCATGAGACAAGTGCCATTGCATTCCTTTATCTGATTTTGAAACTGTCCTTGAATCGGAACTTAATCGACCACTGTAGTATGCCAGTTCCATCTCAGTTTCGAAATTCCTGCAATGTTCAGCCGTACGTTCGGGAATAACAATTGCTAGAGTACTTATGCAACGAAAAAAGTAAAAAATACCATTTAAATTACAAATTCCTCGAATTATATGCACACAAGCAGTTGGCATAAGCAGTATATGTAAAATTTACAGATGCTTATACGTACTCGTAGTCGTTAGCCGTTCATTTTTGTAGAATAACTTATGATCAGTACATATTAGCTTGCCAGTTCACATGTACTAGTTTCGATAGTATTTATACGACTACATCAGCGAACACCTGCATTGCTGGCTTTTTCACATGTATTAGTTTCAGCAGTCTCTGTGCATTCTCAGCAACATACACACACGCGCACACACATGTACAGACAGCATATATTCGCATTGAGTGTGCACATGCAATTAGTTAATTAGCTTTACAGTTAGTCCTCGTTTCAACCCCTAGCTGAACACATGAATTTGTAATGAAAATGGCAAATGCGGACTACTGAATTACGTCAAAATGTGATAAATAATAAATGGGTCTATAAATGATAGATCTGATGGTTTGCTGCCAAAAAATGCATATCTAAG